ATTATCTGCCCCTAATAGAAACACGGCTCTACGATTTGTAAACAAGGAGGCGCTTGCAGCTTGTTTTCTAACGGCTCCCAGAAGAGAAAAATATATTTAGATTTTGTAACATAATCTGAGGAATGTTGCCTGGAGTTCATTAGAGCAATAAATTAGTTTCAGATAATTGGGTGAAACAAACTTATCAACAGCGGTCAAATGAAATTCTTCATAAATTTTTTATTCAATTGACACACGTTTCGTTACCGCTATTTACTGACTATTCCGACACACACCTTTGTTTTAAGTTTAAGAACATCAAGAGATGTCTTGTAGTGGGTCAGTCGACAACGCCCGTAACAAATCTACAGAAACGTCTTGTCATGTGCCCATGTAAACATATTTTGATATATTGACATTTCAAACACATAAAGTGATTGAAAGTGACGTTAGCAAATTAATTTATAAATAAATAAATGTCAGAGAAAATGTATCCAGAATGAATTCCTGAAACCGGAATGTTGTTTTTTAAATAGAGGCGTGTTTATATAGATATGAAATAAGTTGCCTTGTTTATAACCGCCCCCCCCCCCCCGCCCACAATAATGAAGATGATATCGATAACAAAACTAAACAACTTGATATTTTGTGTTTGCACGAAATATGGGATTGCAATTGTACTGGCTTGCACTGGCTGAACACGATTTGTAAATATAATCGTTGTATTTTAAAAGCCTGGCGCTGGGGTGAACTCGAAAAAAAATAATTCAATTTAGTAAATATTTTAGAAAGGATAGTATTAGATACACCGTTTAAATAAAATTATTTAATACATTATTTTGTTATTGATTTTAGAGTTAGCCAGGAATTAAAATAGATGATAAAACATTTGAAATATGGCGTTTTGGTTATTTTCTACACTTTGATATTTTTTTTTACCACACAAATGCTGAAGGAATTGAATTTTACTTGTCACTGTCCAGGTTTTACAAAAGTAAGAAGACAGCTAATCAGCTATAACATGTAAACAACTAATCAGCTATAACATATAAACAACAAACTCAGTGCGTACAACAATAAACTGAAATAGAATTGTTAGCTCGTGCAATTGCTCTTAATATTTATTTTGGCAGCTACAAACGACTGCCGACATACTCAGCTACAAACTTGACTGCCAACATTAAGTACAAACTTGACTGCCGACATTAAGTCTCAGCTACAAACTTGACTGCCGACATTAAGTCTAAGCTACATACTTGACTGCTGACATTAAGATTCAGCTACAAACTTGCCTGTCGACATTAAGTCTCAGTTACAAACTTGCCTGTCGACATTAAGTACAGACTTGACTACCGACATTATGTCTCAGCTACAAACTTGACTGCCGACATTAAGTCTAAGCTACATACTTGACTGCTGACATTAGGATTCAGCTACAAACTTGCCTGTCGACATTAAGTCTCAGTTACAAACTTGCCTGCCGACATTAAGTACAAACTTGCCTGTCGACATTAAGTCTCAGTTACAAACTTGCCTGCCGACATTAAGTACAAACTTGACTGCTGACATTAAGTGTCAGCGACAAACTTGACTGCCGACATTAAGTCTGAACTACAAACTTGACTGCCGACATTAAGTCTCAGCTACAAACTTGACTGCCGACATTAAGTCTCAGCTACAAACTTGACTGCTGACATTAAGTCTCAGCTACAAACTTGCCTGTCGACATTAAGTACAAACTTGACTACCGACATTATGTCTCAGCTACAAACTTGACTGCCGATATTAAGTCTCAGCTACAAACTTTACTCCCAACATTAAGTCTCAGCTACAAACTTGACTGCTGACATTAAGTGTCAGCTACAAACTTGACTGCTGACATTAAGTAAAAACTTAACTGCCGACATTAAGTCTCAGCTACAAACTTTACTCCCGACATTAAGTCTTAGGGACAAACTTGACTGTCGACATTAAGTCTCAGCTACAAACTTGACTGCCGACATTAAGTCTCAGCTACAAACTTGACTGCCGACATTAAGTCTTAGCTACAAACTTTACTTCCGACATTAAGTCTTAGCTACAAACTTTACTTCCGACATTAAGTCTTAGGTACAAACTTGACTGCCGACAATAAGTCTCAGCTACAAACTTTACTCCCGACATTAAGTCTCAACTACAAACTTGACTGCCGACATTAAGTACAAACTTGACTGCCAACATTAAGTACAAACTTGACTGCCGACATTAAGTCTCAGCTACAAACTTGACTGCCGAAATTAAGTCTCAGCTACAAACTTGACTGTCAACATCAAGTCTCAGCTACACACTTGACTGCCGACAGTAAGTCATAGCTGCAAACTTGACTGCTGACATTAAGTCTCAGCTACAAACTTGACTGCCGACATTAAGTCTGAACTACAAACTTGACTGCTGACATTAAGTCTCAGCTACAAACTTTACTGCCGACATTAAGTCTCAGCTACAAACTTGACTGCTGACATTAAGTCTCAGCTACAAACTTGACTGCTGACATTAATTCTCAGCTACAAACTTTACTGCCGACATTAAGTCACAGCTACAAACTTGACTCCCGACATTAAATGTCAGCTACAAACTTGACTGCTGACATTAAGTCTCAGCTACAAACTTGACTGCCGACATTAAGTCTGAACTACAAACTTGACTGCTGACATTAAGTCTCAGCTACAAACTTGCCTGTCGACATTAAGTACAAACTTGACTACCGACATTATGTCTCAGCTACAAACTTGACTGCCGACATTAAGTCTCAGCTACAAACTTTACTCCCGACATTAAGTCTCAGCTACAAACTTGACTGCTGACATTAAGTGTCAGCTACAAACTTGACTACTGACATTAAGTAAAAACTTAACTGCCGACATTAAGTCTCAGCTACAAACTTTACTCCCGACATTAAGTCTTAGGGACAAACTTGACTGTCGACATTAAGTCTCAGCTACAAACTTGACTGCCGACATTAAGTCTCAGCTACAAACTTTACTCCCGACCTTAAGTCTTAGCTACAAACTTTACTCCCGACATTAAGTCACAGCTACAAACTTGACTCCCGACATTAAATGTCAGCTACAAACTTGACTGCTGACATTAAGTCTCAGCTACAAACTTGCCTGTCGACATTAAGTACAAACTTGACTACCGACATTATGTCTCAGCTACAAACTTGACTGCCGACATTAAGTCTCAGCTACAAACTTTACTCCCGACATTAAGTCTCAGCTACAAACTTGACTGCTGACATTAAGTGTCAGCTACAAACTTGACTGCTGACATTAAGTCTCAGCTACAAACTTTACTCCCGACATTAAGTCTTAGGGACAAACTTGACTGTCGACATTAAGTCTCAGCTACAAACTTGACTGTCGACATTAAGTCTCAGCTACAAACTTGACTGTCGACATTAAGTCTCAGCTACAAACTTGACTGCCGACATTAAGTCACTGACTGCCGACATTAAGTCTTAGCTACAAACTTGACTGCCGACATTAAGTCTCAGCTACAAACTTGACTGTCGACATTATGTCTCAGCTACATACTTGACTGTCGACATTAAGTCTCAACTACAAACTTGACTGAAAACATTAAGTACAAACTTGAATGCCGACATTAAGTCTCAGCTACAAACTTGACTGCCGAAATTAAGTCTCAGCTACAAACTTGATTGTCGACATTAAGTCTCAGCTACAAACTTGACTGCCGACATTAAGTCTCAGCTACAAACTTTACTCCCGACCTTAAGTCTTAGCTACAAACTTTACTCCCGACATTAAGTCACAGCTACAAACTTGACTCCCGACATTAAATGTCAGCTACAAACTTGACTGCTGACATTAAGTCTCAGCTACAAACTTGACTGCCGACATTAAGTCTGAACTACAAACTTGACTGCTGACATTAAGTCTCAGCTACAAACTTGCCTGTCGACATTAAGTACAAACTTGACTACCGACATTATGTCTCAGCTACAAACTTGACTGCCGACATTAAGTCTCAGCTACAAACTTTACTCCCGACATTAAGTCTCAGCTACAAACTTGACTGCTGACATTAAGTGTCAGCTACAAACTTGACTGCTGACATTAAGTCTCAGCTACAAACTTTACTCCCGACATTAAGTCTTAGGGACAAACTTGACTGTCGACATTAAGTCTCAGCTACAAACTTGACTGCCGACATTAAGTCTCAGCTACAAACTTGACTGTCGACATTAAGTCTCAGCTACAAACTTGACTGCCGACATTAAGTCTTAGGGACAAACTTGACTGTCGGCATTAAGTCATAGCTACAAACTTTACTCCCGACATTAAGTCTCAGCTACAAACTTGACTGCCGACATTAAGTCTCAGCTACAAACTTGACTGCCGACATTAAGTCTCAGCTACAAACTTGACTGCCGACATTAAGTCTCAGCTACAAACATGACTGCAGACATTATGTCTCAGCTACACACTTGACTGCCGACATTAAGTCATAGCTACAAACTTGACTGCAGACATTAAGTCTCAGCTACAAACTTGACTGCCGACATTAAGTCTCAACTACAAACTTGATTGCCGACATTTCTCTTCACCGCCATTGTGTTTTGTTTATCATCAACACAAAACATTAAGATTATCAACGATAACAAAATGTATGAAAGAAACTCTGAAATCTTCTAAATCTTTATTGGCATCCATACAAACAGTTTTGTAAACAAATACAAACAGTTTGTAAACAAATACAAACATGAATTAAAGTATAAATAAAGACAATGATGGCGATAACAAATCTAATGTGGAGGTTTAAACAAAACAAAGATACAAGTGTAGCCTATAAATATTTCATTTCTCAACAATAAACATTTGTTTATAATTTTGTTTATGTGTCTAACAACTCTAAACAAATGGCGTTAAAGAAACCAAACAATTTAAGTTTTATGAAGGGAGCCGCCATTTTGTTTGTTTACATTAGACAAGGGGAGAGAACCAACAGTTACAGATGGATCAATAGAAACCCTCCCCACTATAATTTTCAACAGAGTTTGATCCACTGTGGGGACGTGTCCTCAACCACTCGTCATATCCCGTCATGTAGACAAACGCTCCACTGGAGCCTGGACATGTACATGTTGTGTACGTGTACTTGGACCAAACTTCCCTCTTATGTACGTGTGTCCATTGTCCTACAGAGACCTGTTTAGGACAGCCATGAGGATGTGACACTATAACGGTCAACTTGTCCACATAACCAAATCTCCAGTATTTGTCCCTTACTTTCCTACATAGACCATCAAAGTGCTGATACATCTTGTCCAGTTCATCAAGCAACTCTAAGTCACATGACACACATGTAAACCTACACCTGTCTCCCTCAATGTCTGCCTCCCTCACCCCCCAGCCATCAAGACTGACCCCAGGACTTTTATTGTCATCAAAACCTACAACACACCTGGTCTGTCTCGCCTCACTCTCATCAAACACCACGTGTGTGGCTGTCCACACCCAAACCTCCCCCCACACTTTGCTGGGTGTGTCCGAGTGTTGACACTTGCCACATGGACAAGTGCCCTTGTTGTCACTCTCTGTGTACTTGACCACACGACTCACCCTCCCTGTCCCTGTCCTCAACACGTCACTTCCTCTGGTGTTATAAAATGGATACTGACCACTGAAGCATGGAACAGACTTAGGTCTCTCTAGACTGGTGTACTTGACCTTTATCAGGACCGTTAGGGCAGACAAAGCTTTGATTACCTCCAACATGATGACGTCACGGTAACGTGAGGGGAGATGATCCAAGTTAAAATCATTAACAGGTATAAAGTTAATATGACCTGGATTCTTCTTACAGCCGGTATAGTGCTTGTGTAAGTCAGCTTCACCTCCATAGCAGATCTCGGCTTCATGATGTCCTGAAGAGTTACAAGGGGAGGGAATCCATAATTTAAAAAAATACAAATTTAAATGTATTTAAAATAAGGTACTTGGCAAACAAAATGTGCAACTATAATAATTAACAGAAAGTTCTTATTTCTATTTATTTTATTAGCTGAAGCAGATGAAGTAGAGTTTACATGTATCATGTGGTATATATTGCCTGCCAAATGACCATTTAACTAACCATCAGTTGTCAACAGACTCAGTAAGAGAACTCATGCATCATAAGTATGTAAATAATGTAATTATGTGCCAGAAACTCTGTATAAATGTAAGTTCTTACATTTTACATACATATTTTACACAATCCGAGACTCACCTGGTATAAAACCAGCTTCAGTTTTGTTTTCTTCCAACTGTGTTGTCTCATCTTGTCTATGTGTTAGACCTAAAACATTTTAACATCAAAGTTTCAATTAGATTAAACACAAACCTATTCCAGTAAATAAAGCATTTCTCTATTTGTAAAGCAACTGGGATGTTCTAAACATTTACAGCAAATACAAAACATGTTGCCTAGAAAAAATTATTTTACCTTTCTCTGCCAACTGATTTTCTCTTTCCTTTCCACCTGTATTTCCCATCTCTGACAACTTTACCTGCAATAAAAAAATTATTGTAAAATAAATTTACATTTTATGATTTTGTTACAAAACTTGTCATCATTTAATAAGTCAACCTTAAGGATGAGTTCCAGATTCTATTTTAGTGATGTGAATACAGTTTCGTGTGGTGCTGACTAACTTAATCTGGTCATAGAACTCAACTGTAGTTGAATCAGCTGAACTCTACTTCACCCAACATTACATTGTATCACATTAAATTACAATTACACATTTGTTTTACTTTAAATAACAGTTAAATCAGATAGTAGCCTACATAAAAAAAAATATTTACATCGATCGATATCAAATTTGAATTGTTTTAACTGGTACACAATTAAAAAGTAGCTTAGCACATTCTCAAACTATATGCCTTTTTCATAAAAGCTTTATTATTTTTGTGTTAATTTGTTTTTCTTTTTCACTTCTTCTTCTTTCTTCTTAATTTTTAGTGTTGGGAGGGATCAAGCCTTATCTGCCAGAGGGTTTGAACTCAAGACTTTTTTTTTTTCGAATTTATCAACCATGAGCTTTGCCGACTCGACCATGCTTCCATCACAATTAAGGATTACGTGTCAACTGGTTATTAAGCGCCATTTTTTTCACTTAGTTATCAGCTAGATAAACTCAAATAAGAACACAGAAAAAGAAGAAGCTATATGCAATAAAATTATTTTCATAACAAAATCAAGTAAATAATCTTAAAACTCTCATTACTTGTGCTTTTCTTCTATAAATAATGTTTTAGTTTTAGCTAATGTCAACTTTAAAATGTTTAAAATGTGTGGCTTTTAATTGTCTCACATTTTAAATATTTATCTGCCATCTATCAATAGTCTTTCATGCCAGATTCCACCCCCCCCCCTTAAAATGATATCATCACACATAAACTATTTAAAATACCTTCAACCTATTGAAGCTTAGTATATATCTTCTATTACAATTTACAAAAAGGTATTTTAAATGTGAAATAATGGCAAAAATTCAGTTTCAAGCACATCTTAATGTGATTCTAAAATTTAAACCTAGAAAAGAGACACAAACTTATTGACTAAATTGTAAATATGTTTTCTCAGAAGTAATCAAAGTTGACTTAAAAAATATGTAGTCTATTAAAATGCTAGATCAAATTCTATTGAATGAATAAAAAATGTAGGCTTCATCAAACACCTCAAGCAGTTTTGTAATTGGATCCTTTGAATAACAAAATTATGTCTTTATAGCCCTATTGATGGGTGATTCCACTGTCTATATGTTTCTCCTTCATACACCTTGATAAAAAGACATGCATAGTATTACATACCTTCATAACTTTAGAATATAGGATTACATGTATTAACAAACTAGATTAACAGTGTATGCTCTAGTCTAAACTCTAATTAATTTCTCTAACATGGTTTCTTAATTTTATACAATTTTGCAGGTGTGGTGATTTTGTAGACTAGATAGATAGAGTTAGTCAGATCTAGATTCTATATATTTATCTAGATATAATCTTTATCCATATCTAATTACAACTGGATTAATAAGTGTTGCAATATAATAAACGAGTTAGATGTACAGGCCTATTCGTAATACCACAGTTTAGCGTCGGTTATTATTTCGGAATGGTACAGCAGTTAAAAAACAATAAAACAAAGCATAGTCTATAGCAATGTATTGGAAGTACTGTAAACCATACTTGATTTTTTGCCATCTTTTATTTTTAATATTGAACATTTAAAAAATTGGATGGATTGATTTTTTTGCATGTTGAATACTGTTTTGCTAATCATTTTGTATTGCTAATCAGTTTTAAACGTAACTGATAATTATTGCTGTTACTAAATATTGTTCTATTAGCCATTTTTATATTTGCGCAATCATTTTTACTAGATCTAGATCTAATTCAAAATTGATTAGTGCAAATCCTCTGCAAGATTTTTATTTCTGTGTTTAAAAAAAAACATTAAACTAATTACTACACTTGACTTTATTATTTATATTTATAACTAGGGCCTATTTATTTCTGTTTCCGAGTGTTGATTAAACTTAAAGTTCAAACATTAAGTTACTACATTGACTAGATCTATATTATATTTCAACAGTAAAAATAAATCACGGTTTACACTAGTAACTAATGTAAATGAAACTCAACAAACATTACTGGATAACTTCCAATGCTATACTGGGGGATTTCCTGCTTAAGTATTAATGCAGCAAATACTAAATACTAATTAAATTATAACCTAATAAAAGTTGATCTTCTATAAGACTCTAGATCTATACTCTACAAAATATACAGTGGTACCTCGAGATGTGAGTTTATTTAATTACATAACGTTGCTCATGTGTCAAATGTATGTTTATTTAATTACATAACATTGCTCATCTGTCAAATTTGTCATATCTCTAAGCAATTTTCTCCATTAAAATTAATTGAAAGGCCATTCAAAAGTTAGATCTGCCAAAATGACAGCCCAGTTGTTTTTAAAACATATCCTTTATAAGAAGTGTATTTCTATATGACAATTATAGTTTAATGACATAATAAAGGATTATGCATAGAAATAAACTGATTTTTATAAAGTTTATTTACTTTGAAAATCAAGTGACTTGAGCTTATTTTTTGTCACATTAATTAATTTACTCATCACACTTTTAACACTATACTTGAACTTACAACTTCACCCTATATAATTGAACCTAGACTATGTATTTTAGCTTTTTTTTCCTCAACCTGTTAAACCTGCCAATCCTATTACTTGAATGGCAAATTCTGCTCATATTCCAAAGCAAATTATAATTTGCTCTACAGCTCTTAAGATCTATCTTAAAAATCTTGTGTCTGAATGCTCTATCATGTAATGTAGGCCTATGTCATGTTGCCACTGTAGCCTAAATCTAGATAAAATATAGAAATAGATCTAAAAATTCTAGAATCTAGAATAAGATCGATAAAATGTTAAATGTAAAGTAAATTATCTACCAAAATTTAGAAATAGATCTAGAAGAATAGCTCTAGATGTATTAGAAGCCTATTAACTATTAGACATTAGTAGCTAGGCTTAGGGCATACTTTCCACTTAAATTACTTACTAGATCTAGACTCTAGACTTATACGTAGATACTACTAGATCTAGAGTCTAGTAACTAGATCTAGAATCTACTTCTAGATCTACTGATCTGGAAACGATCAATCTAGATCCAGATTTGTAGAATAAAATTAAAATCATTAAAATTAAAATGCTAAATGTCAAATGAAAAGTAAATGAATCGATCTAGAATCTAGATCTACCTAGAGTTTATGCCTATGCTACTGTCTAGAACTAGAGTAGAACATATTACACTGGTTTATAAGTTTTGCTGCTTCTAAATCTATATTTTTTTTTCCAAATCTAGATGATCAAGAAATCTAGATCTAGATCTATATCTTAGTAGGATTATGTTATTAGTAATATTATAAAGGTGTGATTTTACTTTAGGTTACGTTACAAGCAAGAAGCGATCGTCTGCTATGCAAAGAAGTAGTCGATACTTGTTGATTCCTTAATGGACACCAGCGAGAAAAGTCTCAAAGGTATTTGAGAGGTGTATAAATTCATTTAAAAATCATGCACAGCGTAGTTACAATTAATATGGTTATAAAATCCTGTCTATCTGGTTTTTTTCGGACTTTACTAAAGATTGGATGTATTTGATGTTTATAATATTTTCGGTAACTAAATAAAAATTAAAAAAAAAGCAAAAACAATTTGGTTTTCACGTGTAATGGCGACATAAACAATGGCATCCTGCTATTGGATAGGCCGCCATTGATTTTATTGTACACATTGTAAGCTAAAAATAGAAAACTAGGTCATGGGGTTTTAAATTTGCATAGTTATTTAAAAACTTGATCTGCAAAGTTTTGTAAACAAATAGTTATCGATCACTAAGTTACTGTACAGCCAATCAATATTTGTCTTACGAAAGTGAAACATCCGGTTATAACTTAGGCTTGATGAAAATAAATAGAAATGTAGCCTTAAACTCAACAAATTATTTTCAAGTTCTCTGGATTTGCAACTTTTATAACATTTATTCTAAAAATATAAAATTTCTAAATTAATTTTAGGCTTAAGTTTTTATTTTTTATTTTTTTTTACGGTCTAAATCTAAAAAGCACGTTTTTATTCCATGTCGACAACATTGGGGACGGAATCTCGTCAACTCGCTCGCCTCCATTAAAATATCGTACTTGTAAATGCCAAAGAGTAAACATTCAATTGGCCTATTAAAAGTGTTAAAAGTTAAGACACCTAGATCTAGATCTAGATCTAGATCTACGTAATATTAGCGATGAAAAAAAATTACAAAGGCTTTCATAAATATAAGATATCTTGATATAGATCTATTTTCGCTAAGTAATTATATCAAATTGGATCGCAAACTTCGATTATTATTGCCAGATAAGTTTATGTATAATTTGATTAAGAATATTTGGCTAATAATGGATTCCTAAAATAAAACTTCAGCACCTTTTGCTTTTGTGCCATAAAATAATTAATATGTTATTGGTCGCAAGCAAATAATTTAGAAATCATTTGAAGATAAACCCACAAATACATTGTGTATTTATAAACCTTCAAGTGACAGCATTCAACGTAAATAAAAATCGGGAATAATCATTCTTACGGGGCTTTCCCATTTTAGGCCAAATAAAAATAGTAGATCTAGATCTAGATCTATTAGGTCTTACAAGTTGTGCTCATGTTACTTAAAAAAAAAAAGAATATGACATGAATAAATTAAATACACACTTAGATTAAGTTATCTGAAGTGAAAATATGTGTAGGAATCATTGTGGAAATAACAGCATCATCAAATGATAAGCTGAATAAAACTAAGAATACAGCAATAGATGAAAATTGTGTCAAATACTTGATTTTCAGCATTTCAAAAATATTTCGAAGCCTGAAAAATAATAAAATAAGTTATAAGTACCGTAGCATCGCGTTTTCAGTGATTTCCCCATAATTGGATCAAATGTCGAAATATTATTCACATGACCAAGGCTATAACTATAATTTCAATCATTGTGTCCTACAAAAAATTAAATCACACACTTTTAATTGGTGGGGTTGGTTTCAGACGTAACGACATCAGTGTTTCTTCCACACTTTTTCTCCGGGGAGGGGACACTTGAAATTTTCGGGGGGGGGGGGGGGCGATAGACTTTCTTCGGGGGGGGGGGGGGGGGGGCGGACACTGTTAAAAGTATATATTTTCTATATAAATTTCATTTCGTTCGGGGGGGGGGGGGGGGGTAAAAAATTTGCCCCCCCCCCCCCGAAGAGATGCCGGGAAGAAACTCTGAACAACATGAACAACACGACAGGTTGTTGGTAGACAACAATAGATAGGAGGCACATAAAGGCAACAACAAATACGAATATTTTGCTTTCAACTGACTTACTGAATTATACACAGTAATATAAGAAAATAGACTCAAATATAATACGATACATGGCTTTGCTGATTGAACTATTTTCAACATTCGTTGTAGGCTTTATAGTTTATTTTATTTATAGCATATAGATCTAGACCTAAGTCTAGTTTAAAAAAATACGTAGGCATAACCAATGCATTGACCGTTTATATAACTACCTTTTCTAAAGAGCAATTTTTCGCAAATCTAAATCAAACATAATTTCACGGGGCACATTTAGTATGTTAACACGGGCTTAATTGTTAATTAAACAAATCTTACCGAAAGTTTTGGGGTTGCAGATAACTGCCAGTCTGGCTGAAAGTTTATTCGATTCTGAAAAAGGCCTAGACTAAACCAGGAAGTGTTAACGTCATAACTATTCTTAGATTCGGATATTTCGGCGTAGTTATATTTAATTAAATGACGATATAAACTATATATAGTGTTATGGAAAATAACGAAAAATATGCAGAGCTTCAGTTCATCCAACAAATGTACTAGATCTAATATCATGGAAATGTAATTGTTGAACGTTGGCTTTTGGTACATGAGGGTAGCATGTTGCCACACTGTGTGGTCAGTAATTGTCTTACTTTACCATTTGAAGGGCATGGGGCAGAGGCCCAAAAATATTGGACGACTTGGGGACTGTTGAAGATTTAGACTCACTAGAGGTCCAAAAAAATGACATAAAAATGTTGAGTGACGTAAAGACTTCCAGTACTTGGCTTGAGTAGGAGCAGTAGTATCATTCATTGGGTTGGCCGACACCAGGTGCAGTAACCCAGTGTGTCACCCCCTCAGCCAAACGACTACACCATATATATATATATATATATATATATATATATATATATATATATATATATATATATATATATATATATATATATATATATATAATTCTCTTCTTGGAGAAGTTAGAAAACACCAAGCTGTAAGCGCGCATAGCATGATAGCAGTCCCCTCTCCTCCTCTCTAGGCCCACATGGTCTGGCGAGCAGTGGTTCACGCTAAATGTTTACAATCGTAGAGACGGGTTTAGTGACGGTTACTAGGGGCAGATAATTTAGTTTGAAACGATTTTAAACTTAGAGGAGGTAACTAAGAGGAGGCTGCTTTCACGGGGGGGGGGGGGGGGGAGGGGAGGGTTTTAGTGTTTTAAAGCAAATATTTTCAGTGACGGCATTGGTACTGTCGAATTCACAAATTATGAATTACTGAAAAGTAGAAAATAAAACAAAATAGCGGCGTGTGATACGCCGCGGGTCGGCTCGTACATTATAATCTAGATGGTGTTACATCCACCATCTGTGTCAACTGATGTATACAAACATTCTCACGTTGGTCTACTAACTGGGGAAATCAGACATTATCATTAAAATTAGACATTTTTTTGTTTCGACGTCACTTGATGTGGCCCGCACCCCCCCCCCCTCTCTGCATTGTGACGCAACTGTCTAGTAGGCCTTTAGACAAACATCAGCTTGTAAAGTAGTTGGATAGTATAAAATTTAATTTTAAAACTGCTCTAAAACACCAATTGTAAAATGCAAATTTGTGCAGGATTTTATTTTACACATATTTTTACACATGGCGATTCTAAATAATGCAGATTGCCACTACACTTAAAGTAAATCATCTTCTTCCTTCTTCCTTGTAATGTTACAAGGGATTCCCACCAACACAACTAAGTTTAATGTGTTAACTTGTGATGTTCCATATTGGTCATTAACCATGATTTCAGTCTTTTCTTTTTGGATTTGTGGCTATATGGAAAAATATTCTATTGTGTTGGTAATTAATTGTTAAGCGTTTTGTTTTTTCTTTATATATGTGTAAAATATGTACAATGTATGTCTTTCCTTGGTTTCAGTAGTGTAATAATTTTGATTGGACATATTTGTTTTAACTAAAGCCCAATGCAGCCATAAAATAATTATTAAAGAAAACACATCTATCTATCTCTACCGCCATTCTTATTCATTACTGTCACCACCCCTCTCTACTCTTGTCACCACCCCTCTCTACTCTTGTCACCACCCCTCTCTACTTTTGTCACCACCCCTCTCTTGTCACCACCACTCTCTACTCTTGTCACCACCACTCTCTACTCTTGTCACCACCACTCTCTACTCTTGTCACCACCACTCTCTACTCTTGTCACCACCACTCTCTACTTTTGTCACCACCACTCTCTTGTCACCACCACTCTCTACTCTTGTCACCACCACTCTCTACTCTTGTCACCACCACTCTCTACTTTTGTCACCACCACTCTCTTGTCACCACCACTCTCTACTTTTGTCACCACCACTCTCTTGTCACCCCTACACTCTACTATTGTCACCACCACTCTCTACTCTTGTCACCACCACTCTCTACTTTTGTCACCACCACTCTCTTGTCACCACCACTCTCTACTCTTGTCACCACCACTCTCTACTTTTGTCACCACCCCTCTCTTGTCACCACCACTCTCTACTCTTGTCACCACCACTCTCTACTTTTGTCACCACCCCTCTCATGTTACCACCCCTCTCTTGTCACCACCACTCTCTACTCTTGTCACCACCCCTCTCTTGTCACCACCACTCTCTACTCTTGTCACCACCACTCTCTACTCTTGGCACCTACTCCTGTCTAACCCTTCCATCACGTTCTCTAATCCTAAGTTTCTGTACCATTGTTACTTTGTGCCCACATACCAGACTCCATGAAAAACACAGAAGGCAGCATGACAACAAGCTCGGAGCTGGTTCTACCCTCACCCACCAAGATGAGGACGCGCAAGTCTCGACATCGTCGCAATAACAGCCGAGGCTCTATGAAGGACATTGCCTCCCCCATCAAGTCCCCCTCGCGGGACCACGAAGCCAGAAATGCTGAAGCCCTGAACCCTGCTGGCCTACACCACATAGAACACCCGCAGTTCCCCGGTACTTTCAAGTACCTGGGGCCGGGGACCGCCATCAGGGAGTACAGAAGCGAGGACGAGGTGGACGGCTGTGAGATGAGGATCTCACACATGGAGAACAACATCAAAAAACGTCAGGAGCTGTGCAGTAGGACCTCCAGCGCCAACAACAGCACCAAGAGGTCTCCCATCTCCAGGCGATCACCGCTATTCAAAGACAATAACATCAACGACGTTTGCTTTGGCTGCGACGGTGGGTGTAGTGACGCCACCTGCAGCAGCAAAAGGTCGTCCCAGGTCAGCGCCGATGTTGAGAGCACCTGTGATTTATCTCCCCTGTCTAGCCCCAAACACCAACCGCTTGAAACAATGAGCGAGAAATCATCTCCGGATGTTGACTCGTCTCGTCATGAAACTGGCTCAGGGTCATGTTCATGCTCGCCCATGGCATCCCCCGCTGACCTTCAACCCCAGACGTACACAGTCCGAGAAAAAGACTCGAATGAAAATTTAAATTTCCCAGAGAGCAGCACAAACTCTGTTAGCTCACAGTTGAACTCGGGCGTCATCCAAACGACGACGTCACACACCGACTGTGACACCATCAACACCAGTGTCACACAACAGACTCTCACAAACTCCACCAACCACCATCTTGTACTTATGACCTCGCAGGGGTCGGGGGTCAAACGGGTTCACAGCAGCCAGGATATGAGCAGGAGACACAGGAGCCCGTCCTGCCGGAGGAGAAGCTCTGACATCTTTGAGAACTCTGGCAGGTGTCAGGACAGGTACGAGGACAGCCAGGCGGGGACGGAGAGAGCTGGACAAAATGTGGACGGTGTCCTGCAGAAAAGGGAGCCAAACAATTCCTCTGTTAGATTCAGAAACACTAAGGTCAGTCGATCAAAGTTTTTTACAATTTTGTTTAAGTTTTTTTTAATGTTTCCTTTTTTACTTTTTAAATTACGATCAGCTATTTTTAAATTAAAAAAAACTTTATAAAATTTACTAAATTTGTTGTAGTTGCCTATTTGTGCTTGTTTACCATTAGTCACTCTCATTAGCTGCATATTAATCTTATTTTCTACAAACACTATTGGAATTACTTTTCTCAGGCTTAATAAGGTTTACAGTTTACTGTAAAAATACTGTATTATTATCACTAGTAATAAAATAAGAGTTAAAAGAGTGGTATTTTTAACCATGTCGAAATGACAGAAAAGAAACGTAACAATATTTATCCTGAGCATATTTTTTAAATGTACAAATTGGGTTTCTTTTTTGTTTTTAAAATCTCCTTGAATTTTTTTTATACTCCAATAAAAGTCCTTTAAAACTCCTGGAATTTTATTTGAACTTTTGAGCATGAACCCTGTTTAAACCAACACTACCCTTATAAATTTTTTTAATAGTTACAAATGCTACCAAAAATGTATTTAATGTTGTGTTTGAACAATATTGGAAAATTAGTAGTTTTACTATATTATTATATTTTTCCATTTTGATCAAACACTAAAAAAAAGTATTGCAAACTGTTAGAAAATGTATCAAGACTCAGTCCATTTTAAAATATTTTTTTACTTGTTTTTTACTTTGTGGGTGTAGTAAGTGATGATATTCGCAAGTGTTGCAAAATTTTTGTTTAAAAAATATTTTTTTTAAATGTTATTTATTTTGTATTATTATTATATATGGTTGTTGATTAATAATAACTAATAATAGATCGCTTTTAAATACTTAATTTTGGTTTAAGGGTGCAGGCTCCAAAAAACACTCTAGAAATATTTTTTTTTGAATTTTCAAAATTTGGTATGGTGAAAAATGTATAAAATCAATGCTAAATTTAACGGTATTTCACCAAAAAAAAAAAAAATTGAAAAAAAATATTTCTAGCGGGTTTTTCTTTTTTAAAAAACTAACCAGCTGACTCTTTTATTGTAAGTAAAAGAAGGACCAGTATATGGCCGATTTATGTTATTTAATGAAATTCTAGAACTCCACAAAAAGTTATTTTTTCAAGATGGCCGCTATTGCTATGGCAACCATATTTTCAGAAGAGTCCCTAAGGCATGCAAAAATTTCCCCTTAAATACCTTAACTTATACATAAACAAAAAGGCTCATTATTTAAGTTTTTTCCCAGTTTTTTTACGGAGCCTGCCCCCTTAAATTGAAAAAAAAAATTCCAGTTGTAAACAATATTTTCTTGTCTCTGTTAGCACTCTGAAGAATCCTGGTCTGAAGAAGAGGAAGGGGAGGTGAGTGATGACGAGACACCTTGTCGTCCCCCCTGCCGCCAGTCCTTCTCCACCCTGAGCTCTGAAGGTGTCTTCTCAGAGGAGGACATCAGTGACAGGTCAGACAACCAAGATGGCAGCGGTGACAACGGTCTGCTGTCCACTGGCAGTGCAGAAAACCTGCAGGCGGAGCTGACCAAACTGACCTACATACCAGATGGTCTGTCGGACAGGGAGAAAACTGTCAAGAAGATGAAAAACAAAGTTAACTCCCCTGATAGGATGGTGGGTTGGAGATTAGTGTATAGCCATAGATATAATTGATAATTTCTGTTTGCCTTTGTAAGATTATATTTTTAAAATTTGTCTAAATTATATTAGTGATGATTGTTGTATTTCCTTATTATTTTATTACCAATATTTACATTTCTAAAGCAGGTAGTATTTAGGTGGCAAGGGTCTATTGTAGATTCGTTTTCAACTTTGTTTTTAAAGAAAAGAAACTCAAAACATTTAGTTACTAAAGTTTGTTAAAAAACTACTTTTGAATATTACAAACAATGAGTATCTCAGTGATAAAATTTTTTGTTTTCTTTCCCAGAAATCTGAGACGGACACAAGTTCGGACGAGTGTTCCGATATAACAGTGTCATCAGCTATACACAAAACTAGGTCTGTAGAGAGTAGCACCCACTGGTAGCCAGCCTCCTTCTATGTTCTTCAGTCATCTTCTCAAAGTCATCTTGATGTCACTAGCTTCACATCATCAGTCATCCAACATGAACCATCAGTCACTCAACACTGAGTGAGTCATTCATCTTCGCCTTGTGTAGAAGCAAGACAAGTTTGTTCTACCATTTACCTCAGATAGACTAGGATCAGGGTCAGACAGGACAGGACTTTCTGGTAGCTTTTACATGAAAGGCAGTGCTAGTCAGTTGCTGACCACACAAACTTGGGTGGGCAAGGACACAGTGAGTCAATGGTTGACACAGAGAACGGACACATTGTGGACACATGTCAGTCCCTAACTGACATAGGACACACGTTTAGTCACTAGCTAACATATTTAGGACACAACTAGTTAGTTATGAAATAATGGATGAACAAATGTCTACAATTATTTCAAAATGTGTTCTGGGATTGTTGTGATTTTGCCAACGTGTTGGTCAGCAGAAGACTCGTGGTTGAGTTGTATTATTTGCTGCAGGACAAAGCCACTGACCAGTTGACCAACTGTGTGAGTCACCTGTCTAAAATACTTTACAAACATTTCGTAATGTGTCAGATTCTCAGTGGATATAGGAGAAGCTAAGTTGGACATTTGGAGCTAAACTTTTTCTGTGTTATTCTTCACTCTAAGGATATGAACTTTGACCTGTTGATGCTGTTTAGTTCTCTACTTCCTGGAGTTTAAATTTGTGGTGAGAGTTGTTTAACATAAAATATTAACATTATTCGTGTTCTAGCTAGACATGTGAATTAACCTTACAGATGTTCTAGCTAGAACTGTGAAAGTTTTAAAGATGAGATTCACCTTTTCCCTTATCATGTTGACCTGTATACTTTACTATAAATGTGGGGCTTGACTTGCTCTCATTCAAGTCATAGCACTTGGTTATTTTACTCTCAAACTTCTTGACATGTGTTTTACATGGAGTTGTGGGACTTGTGGGTTGGACTTTTAGCAATCTGATGCTGATTGTTTCAGATTGTTATTTACAAAACTGCAGGATTTAAAAAAAAATTAAATGTTTTCAAGTAAACCTGGAGGTTCACATAGATGTATCATTCATCTAAAACAGAAAAGAGTTAACTTTAAATTTGTTCCCATGAGTCATTGGCTGATACTATTTTATTTACCCAATTCACCAAAAATCTGATTGGTTGATGATTTTAGTTTGTTTAGAGACAAAATATAATTGGCTGGGATCTTTTTAAACATACAAACCATTTGGTGATCAATTTATTTTCTCTAGTTACAGACACAAATGGATGATAGTAATCTAACATTTGATTCATAAATATTTCTACATAATAAAATTTAATTTGATTTTTTTTTTGAAGAAACAACCAAGATAGTCATTAACTTAGTAGAAACTATAAAGTAAATTAAAATTGGTATAAATTATAATTAAATTTTATTAAACGGGATTTTTTGTATCGATGCCTACAAGTAATTTCCTAAATTTCGATCATATTAAAATACTTGTGTATTTGATATTGGGTCAAAATTTTCAAAAGCTTCAGCATGTCTCACTCACATTTACTGGTCTCAATAACTAAAATATTTTAATTATCCTTTTTTTTTAAATTAATGGCCTGTAAACTTTTGCCTGTGTTTTGGAGAAAAAAAAAGTGTTTTTGGTTTGCCTATTTGGTCAATACATAACAAGAAAAAATGTTTTAACAACTGGTTAGCTTCAGACTGTATCAAACATATTTCTATTTCTAAAAATGTTAAAGATAAAGTTTATAAACAAAATAGAGAGCTTGAATTGTAAGCTTGCCTGTGTGTGTCAACAGAACTCACTTCTGTTGTATTTGAAAGGGTTTATAGAATGGCATTTCTTTAATGCACTTAGAAATAGGACATCATAGTGGAGGATGAGAAAGTCACTTTGATTTTAATGTGATACTATTTATAGCTTCTTGCCATAATTATCTGCCCCTGCATATAGTTGATCCTAAACCACTAATGTACTTGGATATTCAGTGTGTATTTGAATAGGTATTTTTGTAGATTTTAAAATAGGTTTAGGTTATGAAAATGTGGTAATGATGGTATTGGGAATTTATAATTAGGGAAATGAATATTTGAATTGAAACATTTTAACTTGTGATTTTAAATTATTGCTGTAAAATATTTTTTTTGTTATTGACATTCCTTAAATAAATAATGTGTAAATTGTGAGGTTAATATTTTTTCCTCTAGGGCTGCACTTTTATTTTATCTGCATATCATTTTACAGTAATGTTTTTACAAGGCTAAAAATACATTCCTTTTTACAGTGTCCACTTGTTAACATTTTTCAACTAGAGTTTTGTTAACATTTTAAAACTTACTTTATAAAAAAAAAGCTACTGTAAAATATTTTCTGTCGGAATTAGGCTTCCCTATCAATGATATACTAAAATATTTTACATCAGAAATAAACATGCCAGTTTTAAAAAGGGTTTCCATCAATGATCTACTAAATTAATTTCTATTAGTATAGTAACTGATAATTTATTATATTTTTTGAAATAATAACTAATTTAATTTGTATTCATTAATTAATTGCAAATTTACATCAATTGTAATGAATAAAACTTCCTACAAAAAATATACTTTAAATCAGACATAACATGTTGGATGTTACCTAATCCATTCTTCATGCACACAAATTCCTACAGCCTATTTAATAATAATGTTTTGTTTATCATTCCTAATGATCTCAGTGCTAACAGAAATGATTTATTGTCTTATTTATTCAAAGTCTGCTCAGTACAACTTTTATTTTCCATTTGGTTGAGCTTTTTGTTTTGTTTGACTTTGTTTGCTTATCTTTCTGTTTAAAACCAGGGTTTTGTACACTCCAACAAAATTATTAATATCAAACCTTGTGGTCAAGCGTTGTACATCACAGTTGTGTCCAAGTTGTACCAGGTTAAACATCTGCCAAATGTGTCAGTTGTGTCAGGTTTAACATTTGCCAAACTTGTCAGCTGTGCTGTATGACCCTTGACCCTGCGTGTACCTCATTAGCTCACATTTCATTGGCTCGTCATCTCTCCTAGTTTTGCTGGATAAAACAAAAGTTTCGCAGGTAGAAACTTCATCACTCTACCACATTACCTCCCTCTCTACACCCAAAGTTGCATCAGTTATTTGTGTCTTACATCGCAGGTAGAAACTTCATCACTCTACCACATTACCTCCCTCTCTACACCCAAAGTTGCATCAGTTATTTGTGTCTTACATCGCAGGTAGAAACTTCATCACTCTACCACATTACCTCCCTCTCTACACCCAAAGTTGCATCAGTTATTTGTGTCTTACATCGCAGGTAGAAACTTCATCACTCTACCACATTACCTCCCTCTCTACACCCAAAGTTGCATCAGTTATTTGTGTCTTACATCGCAGGTAGAAACTTCATCACTCTACCACATTACCTCCCTCTCTACACCCAAAGTTGATCAGTTATTTGTGTCATACAATCATGAGAAAAAAGGTTACTTAAATTTGTTTGTATGATTGATAGAATCATAAGAATTAAGGCTATATACTGAAAGTGTATGATTGTTACAATCAGAAGAAATGTTACTTAATTTTTGTGTATGGTTGTCACACGCTAGAGAATAGAGGTTACGTAGTTTATGTGTTACATGTACATTCATGAAAACCTGGAACACATCATCATTGTTAACACTAAAAAAATATAATTATTTTTTTAAATTTTAGTACAGTAATGATTTGAAATTAATTATTCTAATATCTATTAGAAAGAATAAAATTCAGAATTATTATTTAGAAATTTTTTTATAAAATGTCTTAACAAAAATGATACAATATTATGTATCAATTTATTCCTGCTTATACAATTTTAAATGTGATGCTTAAAAACATGTTCTAAGATAAAATGTAATGAAAAAAAGTTGTTAATGTAACTATACATATTTTATGTCTCAAGACATAACACATGTATGTTAAGCTAAAGATTTATTCACACAGACATTGTGCAAATTATATTTTATTCAGACTCATTTTAAAAAGTTAACATTTCCACAGGTTAATGAAGTTTTATTGTAGCAATGCACCGAGAAGGTTACAATTTTGAGTTCCTTACTTGAATACAGGAATATTACCTTGTTATTAGTATTGATGCAGTTTACACACGTTTGTTAGGTTTGCATAAATACATTTTTGCTAAATCATAAAAGGATAAATTTCATTAGCAGAAATTAAGGGCACCAAAGCTTAAATGCTGTAAATGTGTAAATATGTAACACATCACATATGGAAATTTTAAAATTAAAAACAAATTTTGTCTTTGAAATAACCAACAAGACAGACATAGAAGTTATATCAGAAAGAATATATAGATGAATATAAATTGATTGTTGAGTGATTCCTTGTCTCAGTCCATCCATTAAGGACAATAAACTGTTGGCATTATAGGGCAACCTGACGTATTTAATTCACTGTCATATCATTGGTTATTTAGTCTTAAATAGATTACCTCCCATCATGGGTTAACATCTATTTTACAACACTTTTAACTAAAAGTATTTAAAGTATAGGATCCATTAACATCTTATTGAATGTTAGTCTATTTGTCCATCTTATTGACATAAATGTTAGTACACTTGTCCATTTTTTTAACCAATCATGTTATGTTAATTTTTTCTTCTGCACAATTTCATTTTACATATCCAATGTACATCTTGTAAATGCCATGTTATGTTGAGTACATGAAACGTAGTATACCTGACATGCGGTGTACATCTTGTGAATGACATGTGGTTGACCAGTGCATGACATGTGATGTCACCAGACTAGGACCATTGTTAAATTGATCATCTTCCTTCATCATCTCATCATCTTCGTTATCATCTTCGTTATCATCTTCGTTATCATCTTCGTTATCATCTTCTAATCATCTTCCTTCATCATCGTCAATAACTGTTGTCTTCACCCATCCATAGTGATGCCATTATGTCCAACTACTGCTAATAAAACAATTGGATGAAAACAGTGGCTTTTTAAATTTTGTAAATAATTGTGTTTGTTACCATCTGTTCTTATAGCCTTCACATTTTGTGTGTTGTGTACAAATGGAAACCAACACTCTCAGGTGTTGAACTTTGTTCTACAGAAAGGTTGACATAAAATAAAAGTTAAATATAATTGTATTCAGTAGATAAGCTTTAAAATATTTAGTATAACAGGGTGAACTTAAAGTTATTGTTAGTGCTTATAAAGTTTCTTATTATAAACGAAACGAAACAACACAGTTTTAATCACATGCAAACAACTTCAAATTACAATGAGTAACCAAATATAATGACATATTGGCTGTTGTTATAGAAATTCATTAATACAAGATACCTTACCAGATTTACTTCCTGGAAATAAATCATTTATAAAGCA